ATGTTAAAAGGGCTTGCCATACCAGCTGTAGTCCTCCCTCCTGAAGCCCCTAGTTCTGTGAGCCAATGGGTTTTGAGCATGAGTAGCAGAACTCCATATGGAGTAAGTTGAGTAAACTTAAAGATATTTCACCTCAGCAGTCCACCAAATTCTGGTTCTGAACAAAGGTCTACAAGGCCTAATTTAAGTAGGGCACTACTGCAGTACCGGTGTTATGGTTGGAAGAGTGACCGTGTTAAGTGGTGACTTTCGGCATCTCTGGTTACTCACAGTGACGACAGCTGTTGAAAACAACAAAGCTCTTGAATTAAATGTTCAGTGTTCGTCTGGAGGAATTTGAACCTATAATACAGAGACATTCAGTTTGTTTCCCACATTATAAACATGGTGAATGAGTCCTGCTGGGTGCGACTTGTTGTTTAGTGTAGACAGATGAGTGTATATTTTAAATTGATTAAAGCCCCCTAAAGGCTTTTAGGATAACAGGTAGGCTACGTGTTACTGTGTTTTCAATATATGCAGTCACTAAAGGCAACCAGCAATAATACCTGCATTTGAGAGGTCTGAGGAGTATGTGGTTCTCAGCAAAAATAGATTAGACACTGTGGGTCGCCTTCTATGGACTCTGCCAAGTTGAACTGTCACAGTAGCCCAGAGGGGACAAACCAGACATGGTCTCTAGATAGGGTTGTTTGTGTTCTTCGTGCTTGGAACAGAAGGGTGAAGCGAGGGAGTTGTGATCTGTAGCTACACCGCTAGATGCCACTAAATCCTACACACTGAACCTTTAAAATTGGCAGAAAAGTAAAAGAAAAACCACCTTTATCACTCTTACCTAGAAACCTCACTATCAGTGAATGAGGGTATTTCTCCAAGTGGTCCATGTATGCCTGCAGATTGGACAGGAGAAACATGACCTCGCGCTTACTCTGGGTCTTTAGGAAGAACCTCTTGTCATTCCTGAAAACAAGAACAGATTTATCAGGGTGAGGACAGTTTGGGTGTTTGAAATTAGAGTTAGGATGAGATAAGGTAAAGATATAGTAGATGGAAGGTCCACGTGTGTCACAAAGGATTATGCTTACGTGACAAAGAAATCTGCCTTGCTCTTGGAGTTGCTGACAAACTGGAGGTAGCACCCGCCTGTGCAGAGGGAGTTCATGTATTCCTCCTCTGTGATGTCCAGTGAACGCCTCAGTTTGGCAAACACTGGTGCTGCAAATGTCTGCATCTCAAACCCCTGGAAGGCAAGGATTCAATTTGCTTACTTTAAAGCTAACAATTATAAAATAACTTTTTGCCATATTGGCTGAAAGTTTCACTGTGTTCTCACAGTAGTACATGAGACAAACAATATGTGAAGAAATCAAGTTCCTCTGGTTTGTTATAGCACTCCTAATGGCATTAGGCCTGGACAAAAACAACCAATCAGAGCAGAAACAGATATAAAGACGCTTTGGGTTTGTGGCTTGAACATAGTTGGTTGTTGATTCTCCCAGGGTCCCAAAGTGTCTAGTGTATTTGACATCCTGGGAATGAGACTCAACAATCATCATTCTCAGCTCTGATTGGTTGTTTTCATTCAGGCCCGGTGGATTCTTGTTAATGCCATTAGGAGCACTAGGAGAAGCCAGAGGAACCTGATTGTTTCACAAATTATCTGTTCTGCTTCCAGGATACAGTGAAAGTTTCAGTTAATATGACAAAAAAATGGAAAGGAACTTTGAATATGTAATCAGAATGGACAGCATTATGCAAGATAGCAAGGTAAAGGTTTAGAAATTGCTGTTTCTAAAATAGAAAAAGATTTCAGGTGAAAACACCATCACTTGCCTCATGGCTTTTAGTTTCCTCTGCCTTGAAATGTTCAGCTGTGAGTGTATCCTGTGCAAAAACAAAGTGTTACTGTGTGAATGTATGTCTTCAGAGTTTCATGTTGAGTGGCCTATAATCAGAATATTCTTCACCTGGTCTGGTGTGTCCATAGTGGTCTGAACGGAAGCATGCATACCCTCTTTTATCATGGCTGTTAGATGGTAGAACTCATGTTCTGCGTTGATCTCAAACACCCCTAGCATCCTCCATCGCTGTCTCAAATGCCACCAGTGTCTCCGCCTCGTAGCTCTAGAAGTGCCAGTAGCTTTTCTCCGCGCCATCTGTGACACCAGGCGGAACTCAGTTTCACAACTTAAAGAATTACGTTTAGCTGTAATATAGCACATACATAGGCTTTTCTAAAGTATATGGTCATTTGCCGAGTAGGGGATCCAATACACTTGAGTATCACAATATTTTGTTTTGTAATATTGTATCGATTCTAAAAAACACTATATTGATTTTTGTGTTTAAACCATCAACCACATTCGATTTTATGCATATGGTGGTGGGTTCTATGACAGGTTTTCCTAAAATTACGTTATTAAAAGATTGCAAAATTGATAGGATTTTTTAGTGGCCGATGCGGATATTTAGAAAGCAGGGCTGCTGATGGACGATATATAATATCGATATTAAAAGAAAGAAAAGTATAATTCTATTCTGTTCTATCGGAAATCCAGGTATATATTTACAACAGCATGAATGAGAGTTATAGTACAGGGGCCAAAACCAACTTTTTTACCACCTTCCCCAAACTCACAAAGCTAACATTGTTCCACAGCAGTCACACTGACAATGCTACCTGTAGACATTTTTCATTTATCAGCCTTGTGAGCAAAGACATGGCCTGATGACGATTATCTCAAAATGCAAGCTAATTGGCCTGATTAGTCGGTCGACCGACAGTATAGAATATTGAATCGTAACCCCTATATTGTGATACATATTGCTAGATTTTACAGCCCTAATGCCAAGAGAAGAAATGTTTAAAATGTGTGGACCATTTGTGGAGTACTACTAAGCTTAAGGTCCTGATGTCAATGTACAGTGTCACAAAAGTATTGTGGGGTCCACTAGAAGTGCAACATTGGTCTCTTATTTAATAGTTCCTCTTTGTACTTGCTGTAACCCACTCCTGGGTAAGTACACCTTACTCTAGATTCAGGAGGAGCTTTGAATTTAAGTGCAATAACCATAAACACAATACAAGTGAATTTAGTGACGCTTTTAGTTTGTTTATGAATGGCAACACACTTTAAACCAAAAAATAACATTTTCAATTGATTTTCAATGATATTTAAGTCAGGGGTCTGTAAGGTCCATTCGAAAAGCTCCAGCTTCAATAAAAAAAAAATCACCAAAATGTGTTATTTGTCAAGAGGTGGCCAAACTACTGTACAGTCATTATTATATTGACTGAGAATACGTGAGCAGCATGCATAGGAATAAATTACAATATCATATATTTGTGTATTTCTCACTTTCCCAATGAATAAGATTTGTTGTTTTTAGAAATAAAGTTGTAAAGAGAGTCTGAAAAGTGACTAAGTCTAGTAAGAAAGTTGCCAAGTTGGCTACACTGTGCGTTCATATGAAATATTATAGGCAAAACCCTGTGTGACATATTCAATGTCTTGTTTTCCTAAATAAAACTGGACATATATGGTAAGTCTGGAAACAATAGCATCCCTCTGGATGTGAACATTGTGTTTGTGAACTCAGTTATACAAATAAACAGAGATGAACCAAACCAACATCCATCTCGCCGTCTCGTAGAACTACACAGTATTTTACATCAATCTCAGATATCTGTATATGTTGGCAATTAATGTCTCCTAAATGTTTATAGGATATAGGATTTAAGGAGAAAATAGCATTTCAATATAAACTAGCTGATTCTGGTATAGTATGTTTAGAAGTGCAGCCATAATTTAGAATTCCATATGTGGTGGTACAGACAAACAAAACACGAACCAAATGCTGAAAAGCTAAATCCTACATAACCATATTCAGGTAGTTCTTACCTTGGCTTCTTGGTTGGACTAAACCGTAAAACAAAGAAAATGGTTCACACAATTTGTCTTCCCATACAGTGTGTCTGAAACTAGCTTTGTCTTTGTGTATATGTTACCTCCCATTCTACCACATTCCAGACAGGTTATGCAAGCTCTGCAGGGTGTGCCACATGGAAAAGAAAAGGTGTGTGGCGTAGGCGTTTCATTACAGTACTACAAAGAGGAAACCCTGAGGAGAGCAACCACGCAAGAATGTGTTAAACAGAACAGTTACTGGTGCTGGTACCATGTCCCTGTGGTACTCAGAGACCTGAATTGGATTTTGTTAGAAAATGACAAAGTCTCTTGCCAACCTTTCTGGCCATAGCCCTTTGCATCCTAGGTTAATGTTAAACTTATCTTGTTGGTTACAATTGCAGGGAACACAAATGTGATGTTAAAGGTGCTGCAAACGAAATCAGAATTTCAAGAACTTCCTCTACGTTCTTGCAGTTGGCAGTGCCTTCTCTTTAATGCAGGAAGCAGGGACTGGGAGACCCATGTTACTGAGTTACCACTCTCAGTAACAAAATAGCTATTTAACACTTATTATGACAGAAAAATATCACTTACAGCCGCTTTAACTATTAAATTCCTTTCAGATATTACCAAATGTGTATATTTAAAGGTCCAGTGTGTAACATTTAGGGGGTTCTAATGGCAGAAATGGAATATAATATTCATAGGTATGTTTTCATTAGTGTATCACTAATCACCTGAATATAATTATTGGTTTTGTTACCTTAGAATGAGCTTAGAATGAGCTGGTTTTTCATTCAACAATTTTTATTGATTTTCCATTAGTTTCGTACATTCATTTGCAGCATATGTTTAAAGTAAGAGTATTCACAGAAAAGAAAACAATGGTAGCTGCATCAATCAAGTGATTATACCCTCCCAACTATCTTTTTGGAACATTTTACTGTAGGCTGTAAAGATGTTGACCCAAAATGTGCTGAGTTTGGGGCAGGACTAGAACATGTGATCTGCTGGTTGGCCTTTA